GAATAAGGCTAATACTATAGCTTCTATGTGCCCATATTAATGGAACTTAATGTGTGGCCTCTATGTATGGTTATGTATGTCGGGCGTGGCCTGTCATGTAGTTTGGGCGGAGCACATTATGTATGTTGGGTGGGGCCCGTTAGATAGCTCGGGCGGGACCCATTATGTAGTTTGGATGTGGCCCATTTGTATTCATGTATATGTATTGTGGTATATCGTATCTTGAGGAACTCATTAAGTCTAGCGTTTACCCGGTTGTTATAAATGTTTTTCAGGAACTTCGTGAGAAGGGCATGGTTCGACTATACACACGCGCATTCACAACTTGTTTCCGCTTAATGTAATTATATTATGATATATTTTAATAACTAAAAATGAAAAAAATTACCTTGGAAAATCGGGACGTTATATCTACCGGTCCTTCGCCTCCGGTGAACCACCTCTAGCCTACCAGTCCCTTCTTCTTCTCCTAAGCAGAAGCAACAAGAGTGTTTGTGGCTTGTGAGCTATCGGTGACGAGAGGTAGCCTCAAGTAAGCGAGAATAGGTGATCGATGGTGGTTTTAGGTTTTAGGGATGATAACTTGTTTAATTTAGTACTATACATCATAAGTTTAATTATAATATATATATATAATATATATATATATATATATATATATATATATATATATAAACCATAAAAATAATTATAAAAGAATTTAATAATGGCATAATAGTATTTTTAGTTCAACCAGGGATCAAGCGTGCAATAAAAACATATAGTAAAGACCTTCAAAGTTAAAAATAATAATTAGGGACCAAAACGCAAATTACCCCAAACCACAAGGTTCATTTGTGTAATTCACTTCAAAATATATTAATAGCCAACTAAATTATGGGCTGGATAATTTCTTATAGCGTATACAATAATCCTTGTAGACTCCAATCAGTTCACATTCTAAAAGAATCCCATTACGATTCTTATGTATTTGTATTTCATATACATCATTAAAACCGTGTTATCTTTGTTTAGGTCACTAATCACTAATCACTAACCACTAATCACCTGATAGTTTTCTTATTTTAGGGATGTTATAGATTAATTCATTTTATACATAGTATAGAGAGGAGATTTTATATATCTTTATAATTTATTTATATCATTGCAATACACCATCAGCCGTCAAGAGGTCCTCCATAATTTCTGTGTAAATCTACATTATATACAACCTTCTCTTAGTTAGAGTTTCCTGGACATTGTTCTCCATATCACTATCAAATCAAAGGAAATTGTTCTTCAAATGGCCATCTAATGAATGAGCCTGAAGCATTGGATTCTCATCTTTACAATGTGGTATCTTAGCTTTGGTTAAACAACTAGTATACCTAAAGCAAACCAAAGAACGGATTCCAATCCTTTTAGTGACATTCAATTCTTATTATTTTTATTTTTTAAATTTGTAGTAAATTACAAATCTATCCTAGATAGACTTTTGTTCCCAAAGCTATGTTGAGGCGGATATCAACCTTTAGCGGTTGTCTTTCACCATAATAAAAATGCACAAATCTGATCCTTGATGTGGATTTTTTGAAAAATTTAGAATATGGAAACCATGTAGTAGAGTATTTTGTTGAATTTCTTTGGATTACCTTTTTAAATGTAGTTTTGCATCTAAACGTGGGAGTTGGTCGGAATTAAATTTTGATTCCTATAAAATCCCACAAAATACTACGAACAAATGGCAACTAAAACTTTAAAATCGTACGCATTTAGGTTTCATCCGCTAGACATGGAATCCATTATTTCATTTCATTACTTGGTTTCTCCACTTGAAATCTAGTAACTACAACAATTATAACCTGCAATTACAAAATGTTCTTTAATCACAAATTATGCAACATTCGTCACAAATATATCGACTATATTTTTTTATTGGACAATCACTTCCTTTTATTGTTACCATCATGGCCGCTTGAGAAAATAAGCATTCATATCTCCGACCACAGCACAAAGCAAGTCTAAATATGGTGTTGGATCATATTTGCATTCAACCATTCACCTTCTCGAAGTCCATAGTCCAGATAACCAACTTCTTATGACCCATATATTCAATATTAACCGTGAGGATTAAGGGATTATAAACCCCCAACACTCCTCCTTCAATCACCTTGATCACAATTTTGTGTAATTCATCATCAACTTCTTCAACCATTTCTTTTGCAGTTTCGACTTTTCCATCTTCGAAAAAAACCTTAATTAGTAATCACATACATACATAAATAAATATGTGTGTACGTATTGATTGTTAGCATTTTCGGGTAATAAAAGGCTTGGAAATTCTGAGAATCGTGATTATCACTTTCAAATCAAAGTATTTGGGTGGTACTCCCTAATCTTTGATTGGATAATACTCAGAAATTGAGAAAAGAACAGAAAATGAGATGATATTTTTGTATGTACCATAACCAACTTTAAGATCTCTGTCTGAAAACTATCATATGACAGTTTAAAACTGTCATAAAACCATAAAAACTGACATAAACTGTCATAAAACCATAAAAATTGACATAAAACTGTCATCTGACAGCTCGACCCCAGGCAGGGGCTCTGCCCCTTGGACTCTGCTCCCAGCGGCGCTGGCCCCGGACCCCCGTTTGTTCGGGGCCTTTTCCCTTAAATGACAGTGTACTTTGAAACTTGATCAAACTTAAACAAGTGTGTACTCCACACCTTCCTTACTTGTATAATATTTATAAATATCACTTTTGGTCAACAAAGTAACCCCATTACACTTAAATACCATTGATGATAACAAATCACCAACATTGATCACACATAGAATAAATTTTCATGTTGAATTATCATAGTTGAAATAGTTTACCATGGATGAAGTGCCAATGACAGATCCAGGATCACCCTATTGACCTGAAACAAAATCACAACCTTCAACCTTGTCAGGGGAGATGACTGCAGAGTTGTTTGGTTTGTGTTTGTAGATTTCATAAACCAAGCTAATATCGCTTTTGATTTCAACTTCACGGACTAACTTACCTATTGTACCCATATTTTTTTTTCTTGCGAGCCCTAGCTAATATAAAAAATTGAGTATAAAGTACAATACAAAAAGCCAAAAATATAAAGACAACTCTCAAATCACTATTGAAAAAGAAATCCCTTGACAACTAATATAAAAAATTGAGCGAATTGAAGAAGGATTGATGTTGAATGGTAAATATACACATTAACAACAGTAAAAAAGTTGACAGATTTATAGTCAACAACAAATTATTATGTTTTTACTTTTAATACGTGCATCCTTGCACCCGAAATCCACCATAGTGAGGAAACACGTGTTGATGAACCTCGTGACTCATGTGATTGACTCCTTTGTGTAAATGTTGACCCTACACCTTTCGTTTCCATATCCTTACGATCAAATCCATCTTTTTTTTCGCCATAAACGAAAATTTCCGACTTGTAAAGTGTTTGGTTTTGGTGAGAAATTATTTGAAGGGTTCGTTGATTTTCAGGCAAATGATCTAATACAGAAAGGCGTATCTTCCACTGGTTTGATTGGTTCAAATGATTGACAATTTACTGTCTTTCAATGCTTGCTTGATTGGATGATTGCTAGCCATCTCATTTGGTTTTGAACCAGTTAAGACGTCATCAATTTTATGAAGTTTCTATGGTAAGACGACATTATATATTAATTAAATGGGTTTCGGTGAGTTTGATTCCCGGAGAGTCTTAAATTTTGTCCACATGGAGAGATGTTAGTTACATGGGAATCAATGATTTCTATTATGCATTTATTTAAGAGCACCAAAATACTAAAAATATGATTTAACGCTTTAAAGGTCATGATCCAGGATCGTCTGAAGACGATTTGACACTACAAGCAAAATAAAAAATGAGGTGGTTCGCTATAGATGTATATATTTTTTTGAGTAACTTACATAGATGGTACCTATGGTTTCGATTAATTTGTGCGTTTGGTTCCTAACTTTTTTTATTACATCGTTGGTCCCTGATGGACTTAAAATAACAAATATACCCTTACTTATTGTTTTAATTATTTTATTTATTTTTAATTGATTAAAAAAATTGTTTAATATGTATGGGTCCTACCTAAATCCCTTCGTCCTTCTCATCGGTCTTCCTTCCCCGATACCCGACCACCTTCTCCAACACAAATCTCCAGCTACCAACTCCGACAAATATCTTCGGCCACCAATTCCGGTATCTATCCCTGTGTTTTAAACCTTTCAACCTCCCCCCTTCATGTTAAAAGATCAAAACAAAACCAAAATAAAAAATAAAGCCTACCTGAAAATCAAATCTAGAAAAAACCAAATTTGCAAAAATCCAAACCGGTCTCCCTCTATTTCTGACCTAAATCAAACCCAGAAACAATTTCCATTGAACAAATCTGCATTAGTTATTTAGTTACAAATGAGTAAAATTACCTAAATCATTCAGTAAAACTTTGACCAGGAATCAGAAATTTAACAAAACATCAATTTACCCAAAGAAGTTTTCGGACAATTGAATCAATTGTAGCCTAAATCATGTTCATCACTATTATCGGATTCAACAAACATCAACCCATCGAATCCAACTAATTTTTCAGATCAAACCACCAAAATTACCCAAAACCGTCCTCATCTTCATCAGTTCTTCTTCTGTTCTTGACTAGTTCATCTTAAAAAAAATCATGATAATCAACAAACCAAAATCATCTCGTTCTCCATCAGTTCATCAGTTGTTGTTCAAGAATCGTCAGTGAAAATCATTCAATAATAACAAAACAAGTTCTTCACTAAACCCAATTGTTCACGTGAGAGGCGTAGATGAGTGTTCCAGATCGGAGGACCGATATCCGACGAGTTTTCCTCCATTACCGCCATGGCAGAGATGGGTACATCGGAGGTGAGAGGCATACGAGGACGTCAGATCGGAGATGGAGAGTCGCTCTAATTTTGGATAATGAGTCGGTGGTCCACCACCTTCCGCTTTCACCTCCGCCCCCAAATCGTAGCATTCGACAGGGTAGCGACTACGATGTTGTTAGGTGATGGTGGTATGACTTCGTCGAAGTTGAGAGAAGGAGAGAGATGAGAGGATCTGGTTTTCAGGTGAGATTTGAGCGAAGAAGAAGGTAGATGAATACACCTACATATTCAAGAGAAGGACAAAGATGTTTAGGTGGGAGCCATACATATTAAACAATTTATTTTAATTAGATAAAAATAAATAAAATAATAAATAAGGGTATATTGGTCATTTTAAGTCCATCAGGGACCAACAATGCAATAAAATTAAACCATAGGGAGGTCCAAGTTAGAAAAAAAAATTGGGATCAAACACGCAAATTACCCCAAACCATAGGGACCATTAGCTTAATTTATTCTTTTTTATTATTTTTTAATTTATTTTTTTTATTTTTTTTTTGTAAAATAGCGTGGTATATCCAGAAAATTTTATTAATTAAAATAAAATATAAATGCAAGCAAGACTCCCCACCAATATAAAAGAAAAAGGTTTCAGCCAAAGAACTGAAAATTAATAATACAAAAACAATAAAATGTCAGGTTATAACATGCTTTGAACCCTATTATATAAACATAACAAAGAAAACTAAAAAATTTACATTTACGTGTTTTTTTAGAAGCAAAATCATCATAAATAGTGTGATGGTCAATTTTATCCATCAAATCTTTTTTAACATAGCCAAATCATTCATCATTTACTTATTTATTTATTTTTTTGGCTTTAAAATAAATATTTTCTAAGAAACATATTATTATCTAGACCAAAAGTGTAAATTTTGGACCAAATTTGTAATAAATTTTGAAATCTGAGCCAAATAATTTTCGAAAGTTGGATGACATGTTGACCGAGTGAAGGGGTTAAATTGAATACAATTACCGGTATTTGAGACATAATTGAATAAAAAAAATATAATGACTAAATTGATTATAAAACCAATACGTAAGCACTTTATTACAATTTTCTATTAAAACATTAATTGATACGTAGGCTTTCATACTTTAGCAAAAAATTGTCCTTTAGGCATTTTTATTATTTATTATTATTATTTTCTTTTTCAGTTATTCAATCACCTACACTCATGACATATAGAAACTTACAAGATCAAAATTCGCATATGAAAACTGAAAAGAAAATCAGAAACTATAAATTAAAACACTTTGGGCCTGTTAAGAGAAATCAGAAGAAAAAAAACTGTGTTTGATTGGCCTTTAAAGCACGATTAAAACCAGAAACACAAGAGTAAAGTCCATAACTTTGCGTGATAAGATAAATCAGAAGAAAAAAAAACACTTTGTATTTTGATACTCTGATATAATCATCGAACTCAGAACTCAAAAATCGGTTCTGGGGCAACAAAATCGATTTGGAGGATAAAAGAGAAGAAATCAGACAATGAAAAAACAGATAAATCTAAGAAATTAGGAAATCAAAACTCGAGTTCTTATTCTTACCTGATTGTTTCTAAGATTCTTGATGGATGAAGGCTTAATCGATCAACAAATTTCATACAAATCAGAAAACTATAAGTTAAAACCCTGATGAAGATGATGAATCGATGTTCTGATAACTGATTTCGGTCTTTCTTCAACAGATTAGAAAGGAGGGGACGATTGGCATTGAAAACTGAAAAATAAATATATGGGCCTCCTATACAAACACTAACACATTTCTAAAATGGGCCCTACACGATTTTAGGGCTCTCGGCCATTGTCCAACCTGCCCGCCGGGGCAGCTGATCAAAACCTTAAAAAGCAAAATAAAAGTCTTAAACCATTCCATAGTTTTACACATTACTTAAACCATTTGGAAGTCTTAAACTAATAGAAAAACATAAACACTAAACGTGACTACCAAAAGTGAGTTTTAATTTCAAAAATCAAGCAAAAGATGTAACAATTGCAAGTAATTGAAATACACCATTACACCATGCTAGTTTACAATACAATTATACAAATATGTATCTTCACAAGCATCAATATTTATAAATACGGCAGCTGACATTTATTTATTAAACAATCTCACTTCCCTTTATTCTGTTGTTACCAAGCAAGTCGCTGTTGGAGCTGATATACATGCATAATGTCAGCAACATTTATTTAGTGAATATATCGACGACATCATGGTTACTTGAGAAAATGAGCATCAATATTTCGAGCTAATCCACAAACCAAGTCCAGATACGATATTGGATCCGGTATACTTGCATTCGCCTTCTCGAACTCTATAGTCCAGATAACAAACTTCTTATCACCCACATCTCTGGTCGTAAGGATGAAGCTCATGGAATTATACACCTCCAAGATATCTCCTTCAATCACTTTGAAAACTATTTTGTGTAATTCATCATCAACTTCTTCAATGATTTCTTTCACAGTTTCCTTTTTTCCATCTACGCAAAAAACAGAAGTAGATTGTATTATATATATATATATATATATATATATATATATATATATATATATATATATATATATAATATGTGTGTGTGTGTGTGTGTGTAGTTGGAATAGATGGAACATAGAACAAGTTCATATGTTCGTAGTTTACCATGGTAGTAGAACCACTGAACGACAGCTCCAGGAACACCCCATTCACCAGAAATTAAATGGCAAGCTTCAATAGTTTCAGGGTCGGCGACTGATGTGTCGTGTGGCCTGTGCTTGAAGAGTTCAAAGACCTGGTGACGATGACATTTGATTTCAACTTCACGTGTTATCTTTCCTGTTATAGCCATTTTTTTTTCTTGCGATTACTAGCTAGCTAGTTGTCCTCTCTAATGGTAGTACTTGAACAAACTGATGCGTGAGGCATGCACTTATATAATGGGTGTAAGGTGTTGCTAGCTACCTGTTTTTCTACATGTACCAGTGATTGTATGTTTGTACATCTTCAAGCTTTACATGACATGAAAACTTTTACAAAGATATATATGCCAATACCAACCGATGATTACTATTACCCATAAAGGCCTTTGTCTAGGGAAGGTTTTAGATACCAACACTGAAAAATACCGCCTTAGATACAGATGAGCGTATTCCTTAAATATTAGGTACGCTTTTAGTAAAATTATGAAATTTTTATTATGGTTTTTAAACTTTTTATCATACTACTATTTGTAGCACCTTTATCTACGGCCAATGACAAGCACTATTATAATCATGGCACATATTTCAGCCCAAGACCGTACGAAAGTGCCCATCTCTTTCCTAAACAAAGATAAATTGATTTGGACAATCTTAGACCTTTCAAAACAAAAAGTTGCATGTGAGTTGCTATGGGAAATTTGAATAAATCATAAAAATACCAAGATTAAAGGAAAGTACGATTAGATCTGGCATTGCGTGTCGTACGAAGCAATATATAGTAGCGTCATTTTAGCGACGACTTGTGGCCGCTAAAGGTGTTAGTGGCAATAGTTTGTGTCTTTTGCGGTGATATTTGTCACTATTAATGCTACTATCCTTGTTATGTAGGAGTTTTAGAGATAATAAACAAAACGTGAAAAACTTGGAGTTGGAGTTGGGAATGCGGACGAGAGAAATTCACAATATGTTTAAAAGATGAAGTGCTAGGAGTACATAGGCCTGTCTAATTTAACTTAACCTAAAAGATTAGGTGGCTACTATGTTACAAAAAAAACTTAATTTAAAGTTTTTCTTTTATATCTGGTTTTTGTTTGAGGTCTATCTAATTTACCTAAAGAATTAAAAAAGTTGTAGAAAATAAAATGTCATATTCCAGTTGAAAGTTTCGAGCTAACATATTTATTTTGTATCAAGTTTGTATCGAATGTAATTTTCACAATAAGTTTTAGAGACAAAAGAAAACGTAAAAAACTAGGAGTTGGAGTTGGGAATACGGACGAGAGAAATACACAATAAGATAGGAGTTTTAGAGACATAAAATAAATTCAAGTTAAGAGTTTTAGAGACAGAAAAGAAAACGTGAAAAAGTAGGGAGTCAGAGTTGGAAATGCGGACGAGAGAAATGCACAATAAGTTTAAATGAAGTGCAAGGAGTAAATAGGTTTGTCTAATTTACTTAAAGAATTAGACGGCTTCTACATTACAAAATTTACCTAAAAATTAGTTGGCTTCTATGTTACAAAAAAAAAAAAAAAAAAAAAAAAAAAAAAAAGCTTAACTTAAAGTTTTTTCTCCATATTTGGTTTTTATTTTAGGTCTATCTAATTTAAGTAAAGAATTAAAAAAGTTGTAGAAAATAAAAATGTCATATTCAAGTTAAAAGTTTCGAGCTTAACATGTTTATTTTGCATCAAGTTTGTATCGAATGTAATTTTCGTTTTTGCCACCTTTATATACAATTAAAAACTTCGTTACCAAATATTATAATATTACAAACACATGCTTAAATGAAAACAAATTTACCAGGAGATAATTTCTTGCACACAGGCATGACACGCGGTTATTTAATTATCCTTTATCACTTGAACCTTTAGCGTTTTCTAATGGAAAATCATAAAAAATAATCTTCCTTTTCCTACTCTAATAAAATAATAGTTTTATTCTTCTTTTGCCAAGTGTTACCGTATTAACCGTATTAGGCCTTCTAATTAATGTCATGGCACTTGTCAACCTATTGATTCTCCATTTCAAATTTCAAATTTAAAATTTCTCACTCTAATTAAAAAAAATTAATAACATTAAAATAAAAATTAAAAATAACATTAATACATATTATAAAGTAATATAATTTCACGTATTTATTTATATCAACGATTATAATTTTATATAACTAAATAAATATCTATTAATTAACAATTTATTTAAAATAATTGATTAATAATTTTCAATTTTTACTAAGAAAGTTTAATTAATTTTATAACCATGATTTACACGGGTTATAAACTAGTAGCTATATAAATAAATATGTTTTATTAAAATAACTATATATTTAAGAATTTCCACACAATATCACATATTTTGGAATGAAATCCACTTGAAACGGTGGACCTCAATGAAAAAAAGTTACTACAATTGTTGTGCCTTGCTGCCGATAGTTTTCGTAATTAGAATATGAAATTGATCTTAAAATAATATTCAAGGCTTCAAATCATTTTTTTAGTAAAACAAGTTCATCTAGTGACATATTAATTCTGCTATTAGAAAGGGGTGGAAATTACGTAATTGAAACCATCGGAAATTCCGACACATTTCTAACACCTCATAGATGAAGAAAAGCTTTAATTTGCTACAGTTTAAAATAAATTCCCTACACAAAAACTATAATCAGATATTTCTAATTGAGCAAAAGATTATCCATATTTGTAATGACTGCACAAAGAAAGTCAAGTTATTGTGTTGGATCAGGTATACTTTCATTCGCCTTCTTGAACTCTATAGACCAGATAACCAACTTCTTATCGTCTAAACCTTTGGTATTAACCGTGGCGATTAAGGAGTTATATATCGTAAGTATCCCAGTTGTCGCGACGTATTCGGCATTCCCACACCGTGGTGGACAGCTTATTCGAGAAAATATTTTGAAATTCTTCTGTATGGTTGACACTTTCCCACGTAATGGATTCTGCTAATTGAAACATTTTGCAATTCAATCACACCACCTCTTTGAACGATGACAATCTTGATTCATATGTCGGCATATGAAAAAGCAGCGGATCTCCGATTTTCACTTTACAAGTTCAAGATTATGAAATTTATCCCACAACTATCAATTCGATCCCACTACTACTATTCCAATGGAGTCTGTTCATTTTTATCCATTTTTATTGTTTTAGTTTATTTTTTGCATACAATGAAGACATTGTATAAAATAAGTGTGAGGTAGGGGTCGAAAAAGGATTTCCAAGCTTAAAAGTTGAAAAATCCTAGAAATTAAAATTTTATATAGATTTGCAAAAATAATGTAATATTTTAGAAATCTAGTATATTTTAAAAGTTTTGATATCATTGCATTAGGACAAGTTTGCTAGTGTTATGCGAGATGATTCAATTAGAACTCTAGGATTTAGTTGAGCCAATATGTTATAGTTTTTTGTAGCTTCCCGGTCCTAATGAAATTAAGAGATAAAAACATAAAATTATGTAGCTTAAGGGAAATAAAAAAGTTTAGCATCATGTACCATAAATATATCCAGGAAAGCTTATGTAGTCATCGCAGCTTAGACTAATGCCTTTAACCAATAAGGTTGATGTTAGGTTCCCTTGCTTAAGCATTTGTTTTTTTAGGTTTTTAGCTTGAGTGATTAAAGTCCTAAAAAGTGTGAAGATCAAGAAGAAAATTTATAAAGTTCCAAATACTGAAGATTCAAGTTGAAGAAAGTGAAGAATAAGGCAATATTGCCAAAAGCCGAAGGCGTATCATTCATTGTTGTAATTTTTCTTTCTAGGTTATTTTATCATATGTATGCTTGAGAATTTAACAAAAATGTCTTGAGGTTAAGAAAGTCTTATGAGATATATTAGGAAGGATGCATAAAATAAAGGTTGTTCAAAATAAGTAGAAAACGTTTATGAAGATTGTAAATATTTAGGGCTTGGGAAATAGTTATGTTTGAGAAACAAATACATGCATTGAGATGATGCAGAATTAGCAAGTACAATTTCGATTGTTTTATGTGATGTTAATAGGCAGTGTTCTATATGATGTGATAAAATAAGTTTTGCTTGAGGGCAAGCAAAAGACAAATGTGGGGTATTTTGATATTTTGATATATATATATATATATATATATATATATATATATATATATATATATATATATATATATATATATATATATATATATATGTGTGAGTTATTTCATCATATTTTAATTGTATTTTGGTCTAAACATAAGGACTTTTGGTACTTATTTTAATAAATTACATATTTCAGCAAAAAAAATTTTTTTGAAGAAAACGGACCAAAATTGACAAAACTAGAAGTCGGAGGGTGAAGCCTGCAAATAAGGAACAAAGAAGCCTCAAAAGCGTGTTTCAGGACAATGACCACGTCGTTGTAAACTCTGGCCCGCGCCATGGCGTTTGGAAAAATCTTGATTAAAGAGATTCCTTGTTGATTACATAAGGAAAATGTTTCCACAACGTGGCCACGACGTGGTGGCTAATTTATGACAATTTCTCCTTCTATATAAAGGACGAACTAGAAGGCCATGGGGACAGAATTTAGAGAGAAACTACTTCTAGAGAAACCCAAGAAGACCTGTCTTCGACCATTTCGACCGATAGGAAGAAAAGAGAAGAGTAACTTGCAAGAAATCGACTCAAGCATTCGGTTTGCATGATGTTCAGTTTAATTTTGATTAGTTGTTTTTCTTTTGCAATCATGTGCTAATACCCTTAACTTTCATTAAGTGTAGATGAACCTCAATTTACTACGAGTTAATATTATATATGAGATTATTAATGTTGGTTTTTTTACTTGTGTTTTCTAGATCAATACTTACATGTTAATGTTTCTATCGCTATTACCTTGCCCTTAAACTATGTGTAGTTAAGTACTCATTGATTGCATGAATTGGTACTCCTAGTTGTTAAATTGCTAGAGCTAGAGATTGACCATGTCCTAGTATAGTTAATAAAGTTAGTTGCTTAATTGTGTTAGAGTGTGTCACACCCCCAAACCGGAACGGCGGAAACGTTTGGGGGTGGAGGACGTCATGTGTAGTATCATAACAATTGCATCATAGTAATCATAGTAAACACAACCATTACATTGAATAAGTAGAATATTTACATCTGTTTGATACATATATTGTATACATCAAAAGTATAGCAAAATATAAAAGACGTGACTCTATACGCTCCGTCTTCTCAAAAGTTGCGAGGGTACCTGTCTACTAATTTCCTGAGAATAAAGTTATTTTGAAAGAGTATATCAGCATAAAAGATGGTGAGTT